CCATATTCTGCATTGCGCACAAGGATACATACAGGACAATTCAGCAGGAGTCCAGTTCGCAGATTGGATGCTCATGAAAGAAGGGAAAGATTTCGGCTTGACAAATGTGAGGATTTAAGGAATGCATCAGGCTTAGCTCACAGGATTGACACAACTTTTGAATATAAACGATGCAATGCAAATGGCGCAGTGAGATTGCCAAATGAAACCAAGCCCTTCTTAAGCGTGCTCGGAGTACGTTTTCCCGTTGTGATCACAAATTGAAGATTTTTCCAAAGGGGATCGTGTGTAGACACCCACTGAAGTCGAATTGAGATCGCTTGATGGAAATTAAAGAATGGAGGATGGCGATGTTCAGCAGGTCTGGCAGAAACGAAAGAGGACATCCTCGCCCAGGCTCAAGGTGGGCGACATACATGCGCCGTAATGTTGCATCTCAATCGGAATCCAACAAAATGAAATACTTCGCCCCGGTCGGGAAGTATCTTGAAAACAGCCTGCCATTTGCTTCAAAATCTGAGAGCGCATGTGAAATGAGCTGTGCCCCGTGAAAGCTCACAACAGCGCATTTTTCCGTCCCTAAGCCGTTGACAAATATTGACCACAACAGGTTGTGTTGCATTCCAGTGCTAATTGACGAAAAAGGGAGGCAGGTGGATGAGGCTGAAGGTGCGGCACAAGCACAACAGAGCTGGATCGAACACAGCCATGCCGAGGATCGCATGGATCATACTGGATCATATCCGATCATACTGGATTTTGTGCAATCTTGGTCTTGACGTTTGCATTTGCGTTTAAGTGTAAAAACGCAAATTTGGGAAAGATGGTATTTGTACGGCTATTTTTACGTTTTGCCACTCGTTAGGACACCCAAGTTGTGTGACAAAAGTTGCGTGCAATGATCAGTCTTCCGTCATCTCCAGCACCTGCAACACGTTGTCCATCTCGCCTTCGGCAAGGGCAACGACGGCACGGAACAAAACTTCATTTTCTACCCATTCCAGCGCATCTGATTGCCACTACCCGGAAAAAACCCAAATCTGTATGTACTGTCCTTATGTATACGGGGTTATATTTACGTTGCATTTACGTATTATTATGCGTTCTTATAAGCAAAAACATAAAAAGTATTTTTGCGCGTATAGAGGTAATACGATCAGTTTTTACGGCACAAAAACCAAGCCTGATTTTATGTATCTCTACTTCCCAAGGGACCTACGCATGATATGAAATGTTGAAAAAACATTGTGTATCCTTTGAGATCATCCACGGACGTCCAAAACACGGCGCTGCGTTCTGTTCGTGAGTTGGCAACGGTGTGGCGGCGAGATTTGGTCCCTTTATAAAGGGATTAAATCCTTAATTAAAGAGCTTTAATTAAAGAAGGGCATCTGTCCCAGCTTTCCCCGTCCCCGAGGCATAAACCTGCCATTCACTAGCGAATCCCCGGACCACTGTCCGGCCCTTGCCAACAAGCAGGGTGTGCCTCAGTTTCGCCAGCTGCAGCCGCTAATCAGTGTCCTCCTCGCCACTCGCTCATTGCGAAACCGCTGGGAGTTTCCGATGCTGTGCGGTGCTCCATTCCGAATGTTTTTATACATTGCTTTTGTGATTCCGGGCGGCGGGAAGTTGTCTTGCTCCTCGCAAGTCTCCAGAGCATGGTCCATAATTGAGACTTGCTGATCGCATGATGTGCTGTGGAACCTGTTTGCGCATTAGCAATGTACATTTACAATATGATCATGGCGTGCAGAACTTGTTTTCGATGGTAACATCACCAGTGAAAGGCTATGCGAGACGTATAAAGATTTCCTTTGCATGCAATCGCAAATTTAAACGTCGATATGATGCTGATGAATGTAGAAAACGGGCAATGTAATGAGGAATCAGTGCCAAAACTGCTCAATTGTCTGAAGTGCAGTTAGAAGATCATGTGTCTGTTCAGGGCTTTTGGACGAAAAGGAAAGAGCTGCTGAAGAGGCACAAGGTGGGTAGCGCCAAATGCAGTGGAACATTACACAGGGAATTCATTCCTTGTTTAGTACTGGATGGTTGTGAAAAAATAATGCCTCGGAGCACCATCCAATTGGAGCGCTTGCAAGCGCTCTAATGCAGAGGTAATATCTGTGGCAAGTGGCCACCCAGCCTCAAGCTCGCTGCCGCCACCCTTTGCCTGCTCAACAAGTCCGGGGATCATTTCAGCACAAATTTGAATGAAGCTTGTACACGGCTAGCCATTGACATCAACTGTGAATGCTAAATTTGCAGCACTCCTGGAGGAGAAGGAGGTGTTACTGCGGCAAGCTCAAGGTGAGAAGCGCCAGAAAGATATGTCCCTTGTCACAACATGCACTTGAACACATTTTGCAGAAAGTGATTCTTTGGGACCTTCCGTCCCCAAGGTTGACGATGGCGAGAAGACAACAATACGGCACATATTGGTCCTCGTTTCCCTCCTTCAGTTGTCCAACAGCGCATTTATGAGTTCGAGAGACATCTATGTACCAGTTTCAAAGCGCCATTTTGCAAGCGAGTCTGTTTGTTGTGGGACATGCGTCCTTTGCTTATGGAAGAAATACATTTCAATATTGCTGATGTCCTGTCCTAAATGCCATCATTTCTTTTGTAGCTGCCAACGAGGAAAAAGACCGGGAGATTCAGCTGGCAGCAGGTAAGTCCGTGGAAACACTGGCATTCGGCTTTCCTTGTTCCAGTGAAATGGATTCATAAATGACAAAATAATTGACAATCATTCAGCGAATCCTAGTAGTGTCCATATAGTATGTGCACTAATGAAATATGCCTGTTTCTTGAGGATAATTTTGCGTACAGGTTATTACCAGCCATAGAGCATCGCTTTAATTGCAACTTATTGGTGTTTCAGATTTTAATCATGCACAGGCATGTTGCTATGCAATTTTACTCATCCTTTCTGTTTACATGCTTATACGCTGCTTTAACTTGCGTCATTGTCAATCTTTCTGTAACTTGTGTCATTGTACTGTAAGCTCTGCATATACGGGGCTGACATCATGTAGCCTCAATCATGTTTCTGGTACCGTATTTCGCTACAGGCACTACCGAATTGTGTTCAGCATCTGAGAACTGCAAAACAGGTTCAAATGTGCTGACACAGAAGGGGGCGAATTTGGGGTGGAGTGGGTCGAAATCTATATATTTCTTGACTACTTGAGTTCAAATAACTCACAATTATGCGTCGCCAAAGTAATTAACCACTTCCGATTCAGTCACATTCGCTGCGGATGCTATTCTGACGCTATATCCTTTGCAGCCTTGAGCGAAGAGAGAGAGAAGCGATCAAAGCAGTTGGAAGGTGAGCCCACATGTGAGATAAAGCTGGGTTACATTGGCGGCTGTATTTCATTTGCAGAAATGGGGCATTTCAAACAATTTAAACTGCGTGTGTTAATCGATTCTAAACAGGAAAAAAGCCGTGTAGTAGATGTGTAGCCACTGTCGAAAACCGTCCAAGTCGCAGCCGACCGCTGTCACTTTTTTTCCCACCAGTGTTTCTTTCAGTTTGCACACACAAATCTGCGCAGCAGAGAAGCAGGATCGACGCTACGATCGCAGTGCTGATGCACAATATACGGATGCTACGATATGCCATGATTTGGGCTGTGCGGGGCTGGATTGTTCAGCACAGTAATAGCAGTGCGATTCGCCGCAGAGCTGGTCGAGGAAAAAGAGAGGCAGGTGGAGGAGCTGGAAGGTGAGAACCTGTGAATGCATGGCGCAACTGGCAGCCCGTATCAATGCACTGGGTGCTGCGTTCTTGGCTAGAAGTACTGCATACGTATTGGGCATATCATCCGTCCGTGTTCTTTGCTTGCCTGTTGCGATGTTCTCATTGGAGTTGTGTATGCATCGATGGAATGTACTTCGCACATGCTGCGATGATACTGGGCAACGCACTTGGTCGGCAGAGATGCCACATCAGGACAAAAGTGAGATGCACAAGTCGACCGTTGTTGTTGCATTGCAAGAGAAGCCGTGCTTGAAATATGTGCACTGTTCTCTTGGTTGTGGTAAGCTGTCACTGATGCTTTTTCGTTTTCGGTGCAGCTCTTTTGGTGGACAAAGGCAACGAAGTGCACGAGGCGCAAGGTGGCCAATAGTTAGGAAGAATGCATGGTCTGGTTTCTGACGCGCGTTTGCTATGCAAGTGCACATGAAATGGGCAAATGTTATGTTGACAAAAGCTTGGACACACATGTTTGTGATTCCTCGCTGCCGATCGCAGGTAATGATTGAGCGTGAACTGGACTATGGAGTTGTGGACAGATTCGCATTAGACTGGAAGCCGCCAATTGATAGTGTTGCTTGTTTGGCACCTGTCGGTACGAAAAATACGCCATTAACAGCACAGTGCACTGAACAAGCGTCAGCCACGTCTCATTGAATATGTTGTTGGCCCCATGTAGCTGCATGGCACCAATTGTATCAATACAAATATTCCCCAAGAGAGGGGTTACTTCTAGATATCCTCCCAGAGACTGCCATAATTTCATACCTTCGAAGCTGCAATTCCTCCTACAATGCCAGAATTAAAGATACATAATAGGCAACATCTTGGGCGCTTGTGTCTATGGCGGTGCACTGCAATCATCCACTGGCTTCGCGCAGCTGTGGCTACTTTTTGCAAGCACTGGTGGCCATTATTGGCACTTCCTTCCATTCAATCCGCATCTCATGTGGTTATTACAAGTCCATGGAATTTTTGGTCCTTGACATTTGAACCTCTGATTCTAAACAACCCCTTGCCAGTGTTGTTGATCCCATTGGTGCAGCGCATGAAATTTCTTCCCCCCAGCGTAATTGTTGCACGACAAAGCGAAGCCGTGCAGAAGCATGTCAAGTGTTGCATGTGCTGTACTCTCTGAACCAAATGTCCAACATCTCTTGGCGATAACGGCTAAGAAGCGCGCCTTTCAGCACTGCCAAGAGATTGAACCAGCACTGCTGTCCGCGCCGGCCAGTCCGCGGCAGGGAGGAGTGGCGGCAGTACCAGTCGGAGCGCGACGCCACGATCCTGCGGCTGGTCCACGCGCTGCACGACCACATAACCTCCAACAAGACGCGCCTGGGCGAGGCCGCGCGGCAGAGCATGCACAACATCAGCGAGTCGCTCAAGTCCCTGCTGCAGCAGTCGGCGCACCCCGAGCACATGCCTGACCGCGTCGCGCCCCGCGTCCCCGTCAGCCTGACGCGAGCCGCGACCAGGCCGGCCGACCTGCTCGCATCCCACCCCTCCCTTTCCCGCGCTGGTGACGATCGCCACAAGGGCACCGTGTCCCATCTGCGCCAGGCATCGCTCGCGGACGGCGCCCATCGAGATGACCACCGCCTGGGCAGCCAGCTGGCCCGACAGCTCACACAGCAGTCGATTGATCCTCAGTTTGTGGCGGAGGAGGATGGCACTTTTGCGTCTCCCTCTTCTGAGGCCTCGCCGCGGTCCCCGGGGCCCGGGGAGCCCCTGCTGGCATCCACACTGAGCCGGGCGCTGTCCAGCAGGCCCCCGCCGGCGGCAGCGATCAAGGACCAGCCCGCGGCTGGCGCCCGGCGGCTGAGCGGCTCCAGGAGCAATGCGGCTCATGCCTTTCGCCGCGCATCGACGCTGGCCGCGGTGCTGCGCCCGCCGCACCGAACGGCGTCAGCACCCACCGGGAGGCCGGCGCTGGCGACGGCCAGGAGGCCGTCAGTGAGGCGCAGCGCGAGCGCGCAGCTGGCGGGCGGGACGCAGCAGTAGCGACCGGGCGCCGGCGGCGGGCTGCGGGGCTCGTTCTGGGAGTTTGGACTGTAGAGAGCAGCCAAGAGTGGGGCCCAAAGTCCTGAACGTGGTCCTGGTGTTTGAAGCAAGTCCAATCCAAGGCCTCCAGACTAGACATTGAACGGCAGACTTTTAACGTTTCCTGACAGCACACAAGGCGGCAATGGATTCTTTGGAGCAAACACCCTAAAGGCGACTTTTCTTGGTTGAAAGTTTTACCTGAGAAACGTCTATTTCGTGGGAATGACGCGGCCGTCAACTTTTGTCTTGTTGTGGACAAACGTGTTTTTGCACCATGCTGTAATCCAAGTTCGCTGTTGAGGGTTGTCAGTGGCCGTTGGCTTCCGGATGTCATGGATGCTCCCCGCCTGCAGACGTGCTTGACTGAGACGCCGGCCGCTCTCCACGTGGGGAGGTGGGAGTGTTCAGGGCATGTACTTGCACGGTTGCAAGGTTACAAGGTGGGTCCAATGCTAAACGGGTTTTGATCCGTGGTCCTGGCGCTGGCAAGCAGTGGTGGCACAATAGATGGTTCTGCTGCTAGTTTCTGGAGCCTCAGGCGTGTATGGGCTACGTATTTGGATTATCACAACCACTTGCACCAGGCTTGGCATTTACGTTCACGTTTACATTTTTGCGTTTCCGTTTTTACGCGTAAAAACGTAAACTTGAGAATGGGGCTACGTTTTTGGCTATTTTACGGTTTCATGGCTCATTGGCACACACAGAACACGCGATAAATGTCCCAGACAATGATCAGTGCTCTGCCATCTCCAGCACCCGCAACACAGTGCCCACCTCGCCCCCGGCAAGGACAACGACGGCATGGAACAAAACTTCATTTTCTACCCATTCCAGAGCGTCTGACTGCCACTCCCCGGACTCCCCAAGTCTGAATATACTGTCCGTATGTACACCGGGCTGTATTTACTTATTTTTACGCGTTTTTACACATAAAAACGAAAAACTATTTTTTACATGTAAAATTGTAAATACGGTTTGTGTCTACAGCATTTCTGCAATACCGGTCTCCTTCAACCCCCCCCCCGTGTTCCCCACACGACAATACATTACATTCACACAGTTTGGTGTCCATCACCTCACTAATACAATACCCGTTCGGCGACCCACTTGAAATGTGCCCTCGCTTCGCATAGTACTTCATGCCACTCTGATAGTGACTCAACCCAGCATCAGCTCCCCTTTCCTCGTACTCCACTCCCTCTCCATCCCACAGCTAACCGAACTCACTCTATTCGGGTGGGCCAGGCGGGTGCGAAACAAGATAAGGGGGGCGCCAAGGGTCGCGCCTGAAATAGCACTCCCACTTGCCGCCAAACTCCCCGCCAAACCCAAGGGCCAGCTTGACCGGTCCCCTTGGCTGCGCCCAAGGTACAAGGTTCAACCCAAGCTCCCTTGGATACGTCGGGCAGCACTGACCCCGAGTACAGGGGTGACAGAAACCGGCTTACGACTGGCCCCAAACTGTCCAAAAGGCGGAACGGCCCGACCTGGCCGTTGCGCGCCCTCCCAATCGTCGCCCTTCGCAGAAACCCATTAACAAGATAGTTAATTCCATTTCTGCAATACCGGTCTCCTTCAAAACCCCCCCGTGTTCCCCACACGACAATACATTACATTCACACAGTTTGGTGTCCATCACCTCACTAATACAATACCCGTTCGGCGACCCACTTGAAATGTGCCCTCGCTTCGCATAGTACTTCATGCCACTCTGATAGTGACTCAACCCAGCATCAGCTCCCCTTTCCTCGTACTCCACTCCCTCTCCATCCCACAGCTAACCGAACTCACTCTATTCGGGTGGGCCAGGCGGGTGCGAAACAAGATAAGGGGGGCGCCAAGGGTCGCGCCTGAAATAGCACTCCCACTTGCCGCCAAACTCCCCGCCAAACCCAAGGGCCAGCTTGACCTGTCCCCTTGGCTGCGCCCAAGGTACAAGGTTCAACCCAAGCTCCCTTGGATACGTCGGGCAGCACCGACCCCGAGTACAGGGGTGACAGAAACCGGCTTACGACTGGCCCCAAACTGTCCAAAAGGCGGAACGGCCCGACCTGGCCGTTGCGCGCCCTCCCAATCGTCGCCCTTCGCAGAAACCCATTAACAAGATAGTTAATTCCATTTCTGCAATACCGGTCTCCTTCAAAACCCCCCCGTGTTCCCCACACGACAATACATTACATTCACACAGTTTGGTGTCCATCACCTCACTAATACAATACCCGTTCGGCGACCCAATTGAAATGTGCCCTTTCACACTGGAGCACGGTGCAGCTCCTCAGGAGCGAAGGCGTGGTCATGCCTTAGTCACCCACGGGCGGATGACGCCCCTCCGGGGCAGAAGATGTGCCCGTACTGCGCGTGCAAGTCGCGGGCAGTGATCGTCATCCAGCCAAACAAACGAAAGTCCCATTCGGACGGCAGCCGGTACACGTCAATGTACCTCTACATGACGTTACTGCGCCACTCCCCCCAGGCGCGGATGCGGCCTTCAGGCACCTCCAAGGCGTAGCAAGCACTGGCGCCCCCACCGCGCAGGCCGTGGTGATCGAAGGGCTCCGGGGGCGGCGAAGGAAGGGCACGCTGCAGCAGAGGAAACCAGCCGGAAACCGTCTGCGCGGAGGGATCCTGCTCACCAGGGAGCGTGTAGAAATGGGTGGGGGAGGCGCCAGCGTCCGCCCATGCCTTGTCCCGAGCCGCCGACCAGCGGAGGAAGAGATCGATGACGGATGGCGCGCCGTCCGAAGGCCAGGACCGGCACCGGATACGTGGGTCCGTAGAAGCCGAAAGCTTGGTCCGGCGTTCCCGGAAAACTAGAAGGCCGTTCTCCACGCGGAGGTCGTCAAGGAGAACTAGATGGCCACTTTGCGCCCGGTTGAAGAAAAGAAAATCCAACGTCGCCGAGCACGCAGCACGGAGCAGCAGCAGATCGGAAGTCGTCAAGCCAAGGTCCAGGATGCTCCGCAGAAGATCCGTCGGAACCGGCCGATGAGAATGGGCCGGCTCCGGTTCTTGCCGCCTCCACGCGCGGGTAAGGCGCCGGGTGACGGGGTCGAAGGCGGAGAAATCCAGATGGCCCATTGCTTGGTGGACCATCGAAATGGCAGCCAGATACTGGGGGAGGCGGCTGCGAATGCCCACACGTCCCTCCTCCCGCAGGAACCGGATGTAGCGGTAGATCGTCGAAGGCCGCGCGGGGAGGCTGGCCAAGTCGTGCGCCTCGCAGAACGTAGCAAAGCGGGTGAACTTGGCATGCATGGATCGGCGGGTTGACTCGGTATAAAAAGAAAGAAATTCGGCCTGCATCCAAGACCGATCGGACGCCGACAGTCCGTCCACCTCGCAGCCAAACAGCGGGTGATCAGCGGGCATCTCCTCGACCGGGAGAGGGTCGGCCACCGGCGATGCCGATCGGGAAGAGGGCGTCAGGCGCCCAGAGACGGATCCCCCCTCCGCGGCCGAATGTGGAAGGCACGGAGATTCCACCGGGGGGGAGGCAGGACGGCCGGAATCGACGGATCGCCCGGGAGGAACATCTCCGGGCGGCGAGGAATGAAGAGCTCCGCCGAGGTCATGCGCCGGAGCCGCGGAAACCACATGGCCGACGGCCAATCCGGCGCCAAGACCACCGCCTCCACCGCCGGCCGTTGGCGCAAGAAAGCCGTGAGACGCGGAAGCAACGACCAAGGCGGATTCGCCCAGTTGGCCGCGCCCGTCCAGTCTTGGAGGAAGGCATCCACCCCCGAAGAATGGGGCTCGTGGTGCCTCGAATTGAAGGCGGTGCAGAGGGAATTCCGATGGGAAGCAAACCGGTCGATGGTCCGCTCCCCAAACCGGCGGGTAATGGCTTTGAAGATCACCGGATTGAGACGGCAGTCCTCGCCCCCCTTGACCCACGACAAGCGGTCCGGAATGGTGTTCTCCTTGGACGGGATGTATTCCGGATCGAGCAGCAATGCGCGGGCCGAACAAATCCGTTGCAGTTGGCGGAGCGGCCCGCGGAGCTGGTCGGAACCCGTCGCCATGCTGCGGATACAAAAGAGAACCACCTGCGAATCCACGAGCAGGCGCAGCCGAGCCGAGATCGAGGGGGAAACCGCCGGAAAAAAGGCCCGGATGGCCAAGGCTACCGCCTGCAATTCACGCACATTGATGTGCGTTAACGAGCGATCAAAGAAGCCTCTCGCCAATTGAGGATGATCGGCGTGAGGGGGAGTGAAAGTCGCACCCCAACCCGTCAAGGAAGCATCCGTAGCGAGGGTACCCGCAAAGGGCACTCCGTCGGGATTAAGGGGGCGGCCATCACACCGATGAAGATGGACCCAGGCCTCTAGATCGAGGCAGGCTTGCGGGGTCAATCGAAGACGATCCCGCCAAGAGCGTTTGGTCCGGAGCACAGCATAAAGGCTCTGAAGAAAAAAACCGGGCAAGGGGAAAGGCTAAATAAACCGAAATAGCCTGCCCACAAAAGCGAGCCAGATCCCGAGCGACTACCCATTTCCGGGCCCGAAGGACCCGGGCCTTTTCGGCCAGGAGTGTCACCTTGTCCCGGGGAACGAAGAAACGGCAAGCGTTGGTGTCCACCACCACCCCGAGGTGGCGCTTGACCCGAACCGGCTCCCACTGGCATTTCCGATCCTTAAAGCGAATCCCCAGGGCCCCAAAAATCGCCCTAACTAATTGGGACCATTCTCGCAATTTGTGGGGATCGCTCAGGGCGGCCAGAAAATCATCCAAATAGGCCAGGATAATGGCGGGGTCATCGATCGTATAACGCACATAGTAGCGTTGGATCGAATCATTCCCCGCGAGACTGCCAAAATGGAATTTTTGCGCCGCTTTGGTACATGACCCCGGAGAGTGAAGGAAACGAGTAACCACCAACATAAAATGGGTGAAAAAGTAAGGAGATAAAGAGAGACCAAAGGGGAGGGCGCGGCAAGCGAAGACCTCCCCGT